TCAAGGAATCAAATGATAACTTTCCCCCTTCCTCTCCTTTTAGCAGCTGCTTTTATATGACTACTTGTAGTTCCTCCCTGAGAGGTCCAAGAAGATAATGCAGATCAGTGCTTCTCAAACTTTAAACTTATACATGGATCATTTAGCACCCTATTAACTTAGAATCTAATTCAGTAGATCTGGAAAGGAGCGTTAGAAAACTCCCAAGTGATGGCCATATTGCTGGTATCCATGGTGCGTACTTCCAGTAGCACCACTTTAGGAAGCAAGTTGAAGAGGCGAGAGAGGTGGAGGATGGGAATAAGACAGAAACAGAGGGTAAGGTAAGAAAAGATGGGAGGTGAGAGGGAGAGAGAGAGAAAAGGAGATAATGCATATTCTGATGCAGAAGACTACTTTTCATAGTACTCCTTCATGACTTTGGTTGATCGTACCATTGAGTCCAAATCAACCCTTAGCTGACCCTCTGGTGTGTTTTCAGAGGCAGTTATTTGCGCTTGTAAAGATAGCCCATATTTCTCCCCTGTAGCACGTGCCTTTGAGATTGCAGTGCAACTTCTTGTCACTAGGCCACCAGAGCTACCCTTCTTGATTAATAATAATAATAAATAATAATAGACTTATAAATTTAAAACTACATACAGTCACTCCTCACCTACAGTTATGTTTTGATCCCAAAGACCAAGTTGTTATGAGAAAGAAAAGCTATATAAAGTAGAAGGCTCTTTGGTGCTAGTGTTCACATCCCCAACCCCATACTTTCCCTTTCATCCCTTATAGCATAATTGGTACCCTTGATATCTCGTAGGATGTGCTGGGGGTAGTGATTCCCTTTTCCACCACATCTTCACCAACATCACGGAGTCCGTTAGGGTTGGGAGGTAGTAGTCACATGTTGTTCACTGTCCTCTCATCACTCTGGGCAGGATACGACCCCATTCACTCTCTACCTGTCAACCCTCATAGTCCACCCTGGGAAGAGTTGTTTATTATTTGTTCACCTAGACTACGTAGCTCCATGCAGTATCCTGCTCCTCTCTTCCTCTTCACACTTCTCCCTGGCAGCCTTCCCTCAATCATGTCCAGCCTTCCTGTGTCCGCTTATGACCTTGTATCATTCTGCTTTCACTCACTATTTGTAGGAAAGAGACATCATAGACAAATGAAACTACAACTAGTCAGTCATTGTCTTTATGGAGCCAGGTCATTCTGGAACCTCTGGTACATCTTTGAGTTGCTTTCCAGAGAGTATGCTAGGTTGGCTATGGGCCTGCATGGTGCTTGAACCATTGGAGGCACTGCCTCAGAATTTTTAAAAAAGTATCCTCATACGTCTACAATAATGGTATTATATAGTATTTGTCCTAGTGGGACTGAATTAGTTCATTTAGCATAATGCTCTCCAGTCCCTCCCAAGTTACATAATGATTTTCAAAAATCATTTTAAAAATCATTGCTCCTGCATGCTGGTTCCATTGGGTGAATGTACCATAATTTCTCAATCCATTCATTTGTGGTTGGACATTTGGGCTATTTCCATGTTTTTGCGATAGTGAATAATACTGCTATGAACATTGGTGTACAAATCTCCATTTGTGCCTCATTTCTCATTTTATTGAGCTATATTCCAAGCAATGGAATAGCTGGGTCATGTGGAATTTGTATTTTCAGCTTTTTGAAGAAATGTCAAACTACCTTCTTGAGTGGTTGTACCATTGTACAATCCCACCAACAGTGTATAAGTGTACCTATCTCTCCACATCCTCCTCAACAGTTATCACTTGCTTTCCTGTTAAACTTTGCCACTCCTACTGGGGTGAGATAGTATCTCATTGTGGTTTTGATTTGCATCTCTCTTGTTGCCAGCGATTTTGAGCATTTTTTCATGTGTCTATTGACCATCTGAATATCTTCCTCTGTGAAAATTCTGTCCATGTCTTTTGCCCATTTTATAATCATGTAACAGGATCCAAAGGAGGTGGGGGGGAGCAGAGGGGTGAGGATGGGTGGGGGGATAATCATAGGGTCACACAATTTGATGGGTGGGGAGAGGGGTGAGTAAAGGAAATGGAAACGATCCATGTGAAAATCAATGTATACGAACTTTGTAAGTAAACCAGTATAAAATAAAATTTTGTTT